GTATTAACGGAGGAGACACTTTTACCAGAACTCAGACTTTACCCAACGCAGAAAAGGTAAGGGTCTATTAAATATGAATTTAATTATTATTTTCACGGGATTATATATTGATGCAACACCGATTTTGTTTGTTTTCTGGGGTGTTAGGATATTTTTTAATTGTACGTGTCAAGAGGCTGTTTAAGTTTTCAGGCAAGGGAGTTCCGCAGTTTATACGTTTTCTCTGTTACTTTTTTTTTCTTTATTTGTTGCGCTCCCTTATTTAATTTAAACACTTCGTCTCTATATGTGGGAGTAGCTCTCCTTGGTACTGAACTCTGCTTCAAGACAAAATATTACAATACCTCCTGTAAGTCAGTAATGTTCATTAAGCTAATTCACGTTCGTTAAATTATATGACATTACTCTTAATAAACCTGTTAATTTTATGGTACTCATGTTTATTTGGAATTTTTCTCCAAATAGACATTTTTTCGACGATATAACAGAGACATCAAATATTTTTTATATAAAACTAGAAAGGATTAACTCATAGGATATCGTCACATTAATAGGTTTTCAGTTTTGGTCCCTTTGTTTTAAGTACAACTTAAGATGTACCCCACTGTTGACTGGTTTATTTTGGCATTGTGAATGAGAAACCATGTGTTACTTATGAATGTCCACGTGAGGACACTGTAGACCATGACATTTAGACATTCAGTTTCGTAGCTCCGGGCTCCTCCCAGATTCAGTCGATGATGCAGTTGTGCTTTGTGACAAAGAGACGTCGGACGACGGAGAACATTTGTCTGTTTGGTTGCAAAGAGGAAAAGAGATATACCCGGAATAATCGATCGCTTTTTTTCATTACGTCTTTCTCGAAAATATGCTCGTGATTTGACCTCGTCTAGCTTGTTTATATCTGTAATCATGCCTTTACCGGACAGGACGAGCGTTTTCTGGATATATGTACTGTTCCTGATACTGGATTGTTATCGGAAAACTGTTTGTGGGCAGCTCACTTACTCTGTTGCAGAGGAAGCAATTGTTGGAACTGTTGTTGGAAATATCGCAAAAGATCTGAACATCAATGTACAAGATTTAGAACGCCGTGCCTTTAAGATTGACGGATCAAAGAGGAAATATTTCGAGGTAAATCTGAAGACTGGTGCTATCTATGTTAATGAGAGAATAGACCGAGAAGAGCTCTGCAGCTATGAACCAAAATGTTCACTTACTGTAGAAGCTGTTATACATAACCCCTTAAAACTGTATCGTATTGAAATGGTTATTTTGGACGTGAACGATAACTCCCCATTATTTCTCAGCCATTTGCAGACAATTAACATCACAGAGAGCACGGCAGCAGGAGCTAAATTCCTCCTGAAACGAGCTCGTGATGCAGATGTGGGAAAAAATTCAATAAATACATACAAACTTAGCCAAAATGAACATTTTTCCCTAGTTATGCATAAAGGAGAGAGCATCACCGCCGAATTGGTGCTTCAGAAAGTTTTAGATAGAGAAAAACAGTCTGTAATTCATCTTACGTTGACCGCTATAGATGGGGGATCTCCCCCTAAATCAGGAAGCATGGACATTACCATAAACGTTTTAGATAGTAATGATAATCCTCCTGTTTTTAGCCAATCATTATATAAAGCTAATGTGAAGGAAAACGTCAAGATTGGAACATCAATAATTACCCTGAATGCTACTGATGTCGATGCAGGCCTGAACGGAAAAGTTTCCTATTCTTTTATTGAAATAGACCAGGGACAAGGAAGTGACTTGTTTCGTATAGATAAGGATACGGGAACTGTTAGAAATATAAAAAATATAGATTTTGAAGAGAACAATGTATTTGAGATAAGAGTACAAGCAAGTGATGGAACGTCCACACCTCTTACGTCACATGCCAAACTACTGATTGAAGTCTTAGATGTTAATGATAATGCTCCTGAAATCACAGTAACGTCGCTGTTAAGCACAGTCAAAGAGGATGCATCCACTGGCACTGCTATTGCTCTTGTTTCAGTTTTTGATAAAGATGGAGGAAAAAATGAGATAGTGAGCTGTAAAATATCCAATGATGTCCCCTTTAAACTGGAATCCAACTATAAAAATCACTATTCGTTGGTTGTGGACGGTCCTCTCGATCGAGAGAGTGAGCCTCAATACAACATAAGTATCTCTGCAACAGATGAGGGCAGTCCACCTCTCTCCAGCACGAGCATCATTAACGTGCACGTCTCTGATGTAAACGATAATAAGCCTCATTTCACAGAGGACATAGTCAATGTTTTTATGAAAGAAAACAGCCCAGTAGGAGCTGTCATCAAAACGGTGTCAGCAGTTGATGCAGACGTTGATAGAAACGGTCAGGTGAGCTATTCATTTCTACAGAGTAGTTCTTTACCGTCACCTACAATGGTGAATATTAACTCAGAGACTGGAGATATAGTCACCCTGCAGTCTTTTAACTACGAGGAGTTAAAAACCTTCCAGTTCAAAG